AGGGTGTCTACGCGGCCCCTTCAAGCACGACAAAGGCGCCTTACGGTCAACAGGCTTACGGAGTACTACCAAGGAGGGGACCTCACCTGGCTGTGCATCTGCTGCTGGGCCACGAAGGCCATGGAAGAGCGCCGGCCCATTCCAAACGACGTGGACTTCAAGGACTGGATCAACGACCGCCCCGACGACATGCCTGTGCGCCCCGCCCCGCCCCGACGACAGATCAGGGACAAAGGTGACGGGGGGGCGCGCATCCGAGGGGTCAGGCACACAGACCCCAGCGCCACCGCTTCAGCGCAGCCAGCCGCCGGGCACGCGTCCAGCAGCGAGCCCCAGCAGCGCGCCGCCCCCCGAGCGGGCTTGCGTCCCGACCACGCGTCCAACCAGGCTGAGCGCCCAAAACTCGCCAAGGGAAGGCGCCTGACACCCTGCCCGCCCACCCACGGTGGCGACTCACTCCCGCCCACTCCGCGCGGCGACGTGCCGGCCCTGGCCCCTCCCGCCACGCGACCCGCAGCCGCCAAGTCCGCCGGGGCGCCACCGGCCGTCAGCGCGGCGCCTGAACCCCCCCCGAGAGCGCGGAACCCAGCGGCCTCGAACGGCAGCAAGGGCGAGTCCCGGACACGCCCATCCAGGGCTCCTTTCGCCCGCTCGCAACGGACAGCCCGTGCATCCAGGGCGGCGACTACGTGGTCATCGGGAGCGACGCCCTCCCCCGCGCCAGGTAGTTCAGCTCGGCGGACAGCACCGAACCCCTGTCGACGCACCCCCTGGACGGAGCGGTATTCGGACCCGTCCTCAACGTCTTGGCCCGCGAACAGGACGGGCGGGCCCTTGTCGTCCAGATCGGCAGCGAGTGGCTGGAAGTCTGGGGCGCCGGTACCAGGACGCTACGAGTGAACGTCCTCCGCGGCGACGCAGCGCTCTGGGCAGCCGCCTTCCTGGGCAGGACCTACGACGAGGCACGCGGGGCGCAGGCGCCAGCGGCCCCCGCCAGCTCCCGGCTCGGCGCCAACATCGGGGGCGACAAAGTGACGTCCCCAGAAGGGGCTCAGCCCGACTCCCAGCCCGAACCATGCGCGCCGCGTACGGACATACAAGATCCCACCTGCGAAACTGCACCCCTCTTGCTCCCTGAGGAGGAGGGCCCCGATTGGACCAACGACGACCAGGAACAAGAGAGGAAGCAGAGGCTCGCGGAGGCCCCATCCTCAGACCCCGACACAGTCGAGGAGGGCCAAGCCAAGTTGAGCCCTCGTGACGAACGACGCAGCAGTCCCGAGCGCGACTCAAGCAGTGCCTACCAAACCCAGCCAGCCTGCGCACCCACGGAACCGACCGTGCTTTTGACGGCCGCTGCCGACAACCAGGCGCTGCACGCGCGGCCCAGATCGAAAGGCCCGGAAGACAGGCGCCCCGTACTCAACCCCCTCCCTGCGCATGAGCTAGAGCGCTTGCGCGGCAGGGCGCGGGGGCCAGTTGCCTGGGAGTCATGCGAGACTGCGGTGAGGCGCGCGTCCAGAGAAACCGGCGACCGGACCCGTGCTGGAGAGCACGACCGCGACCGCGACCGCGACCGCAACAAGGGCGCAGCGGGGGCACCGTGGCGCAAGCAAGACGCCAACGACTGGGGCAGAACCAGGGAGCGCCACTGGGATCAGGACCGCGACAGTGGCAGGGGCACAAGGCGAACCCCCTGGCGCCAGCCAGAACCACGCAGCTCTCACCGCGGGGGCGATCGCCATTACCCAGACCCCAGCCGCCCGCGGACAATCCTCCGCGTCAGCTGGCAGCGCCGCCCACACGAGACAGCAGTCGTGCACCTGAGGAGGCTGCGGGCCGAGGGGGGGTACCACTTCACCGCAGCCTGGCACTCATGGTGCAGGCATGTGTGTAAGGGGAAGGGCAAAGGCAAATCCAAAGACCAGGTCGCTTTCGACCCGAACGGCTGGCAACAATGGATAATCGACAAATTTCTGGAAGACGTGGGCAGCGGCAGCCATCGCGTGGAGACGTGGTCTCGCAGCGCCGGCGTCTGCGTGGACTGGGGCCGGGAGAAGGGCCTGTGCCAGGACGTCCACAAAAAAAGAGAAGTTGCCAATGGTGAAGGGCGCGGGGAGGACCAGGCACGCAGCTCCGGGCACAACGACAACTAGACCGGAAAGCGCCCTAGGCGCTGACCAGCCTGCAACCGGGCCTCCCCTGACTGACGCAGCACGCCGCGACCGCCCTCCTACGCTCCCAACAACTTGCGGCAAGGTCCTGGTCCTGCCCACCGCCGGCCACGCCCGACACCTGTTCCCCCTTCCCCCTCCCTCATCACCTGGCTTGGGACCGTGTGCCCCCCTGTTCTCCTACCTGTTCCCCCGCAGCCTTGGCTGGAAAGGCTGATGCTGGTGCCTGGCTGCCCGCGTGCGCCCCCGGCGGGCGCGTGTAGCAGGCGCACTTGAGACGCGCGCGGTCCACTCACTGCATCCGCTTGGTGGCCCACCTGTTCCCCGACCGTGTTGCCTGCTCCCCCTCCCCCCACGCCTGTCTTTAACGTGTGCTGGGACCGTGTGTCCTACCTATGCCCATTGGGGGCCCAGCTCCCCACGTGAGCACCTGCGGTGCGGGCTGGCACGTCGACGGCTGGCGGTGGCCGCCGGCCTTCCTCCTCCCTGTTCGCTTCTCCCACCCCCATTTGCCTCCCCCCCTCCCACGGCGGCAGCGCCCGGCACTGCGCGGCTTCGGCCCGGTGCCGGGCGCTGCACCGTGCCGCCTCGGCGGCCCCGCTCGCCATGGCGGTGCGCGGCTCAGGCCCGGCCCTCGGCAATGCGGATGTCAGCGCATCGTGTGTGGCTGCTGCACGTCTTCACGCGCTGGCGGTGCAGGGCAAGTTTTCTCCCTACAGTTCACCGGCATCCTGTCGGTCATGAACGGCCCCCTCGTCTGAGGCCGCTCCTCAAGCAAGCTGCTACCTGGTCGTGGTTTGGACTTCCACCCCGGGCCTCTCCCGCATCGCCCGGTGGCACAACGTTGCGCATCGCCTTCGCGGTGCTCCTCTTCTTCCTGGGCGTCGACCTGGTCAAGTGGCACGTCCCCCTCTGCAGCGCTTGAGGCTGGTGTTCATGATGCGCCGTAGACGGCAACGCCTTCTCCCCCACCCTTCGGGACTTCGCCCCCGGAACCAGTCCGCGGCGCACCTGCTCCTGCACATCCACTTCGGCACAGGCTGCACCCCAGGGCCTCGCCCACTCCGGCCGCCTGAGGCCCCGCCTTCCTGTGCCCTGTCTCCCTAATTAAAGCTGTGCGTAGCCCGCCTAGCTTTTCGCGGAAGAGGTTCGCTCTCGCCCCGCAGATCAAAAATGGTGTTCTCATCGGGCTGGCACTGAATCGTGAGGGCACACTTTGAAGATGACCCCCAGCATCCGCAGGTCATGCGGCCGACGAGCCCCCACCGCCCACGCAGAGTCGATGCCCGCGCGCCGCAGCAGGTGGAGCCTTGGCCCGCGGTTCTGTGTGGAGCAGCTTCTTGGGGGCCACTCAGTCTGCCTTGGTGGATGCCGCAAGCGGGTGACGCTCGCCTCCTTAGACGCAGCTGCCTCCAGCGCCTGCTTGAGGAGCTCCTCAGGCGCTAGAGTAGCTTGCTGCTCCGCCTGCGCCACGGCGAGCTCGGGCGAGCGCGGACTTGGGGACCTCAGTGTCGTCAGCGTAGCCGAAACGTCGCAAGGCTGCGAAGTCTCTCCAGTGCCACTGCACTCGACCGTCGGAGGACTCCTCGGCGTCCATGTCCGCGGCGCTGGCCTGCGACTGGGAGGCCGCTGACTGGGCTGCGGACCGCGGTATCTGGCTACTGTGACGCTTGCTTGCCACCACTAGCCCCAGCAACGCCCGTCAAAGCCTCGGGCCCACTGCTGGCGCCTCCTCGGACGGTGTTGCGCCCTGGGCGCAGGTCACGCCCGCAACGCAGACTGTGCTTACGGCCCGCCCGGTTGCCGTGAACCTGCTCAGCCGAATTGCTACGCAAGCCCACTGACTGTTGGCCGTGGCACCACCGTCTCGTCTCCGCGGAAGGGTGCCACGCAGGCGAGGCGGACCGCCGAATCGCGCGCGCACTGCAGCACAGTGATGTGCGGATACACTGGGGGCGGCGATATGATGATGATGATGATGATGATGATGATGATGATGATGATGATGATGATCATGATGACGACGACGATAATGATGACGACGATGATGATGCTGATGGTGATAATGATGACGATGAATGGTGAATGGTGATGCTGATTATGATGACGATGACCATAACGATGACGATGCTGATGATGATGGTGATAATATTGATGATGACAATGATGCTGATGATGATCGTTGTGTTTGTGGTGATGATGATGCTGATTATGATGATGATGATGCTGGCGACGATGATACTGATGCTGACAATGCTGGTGTTGATGATGGTGATGATATGATGATACTGGTGATGATGGTGATGCTGCTGATGACACTGATAATGGTAATGATGGTGCTGATGATGATACTGATGATGATGATGATGATGATGATGATGATGATGATGATGACTCTGATGATCATGTTGATTATACTGATGACGATGATAATGATGATGCTGATGGTGCTGATGATTATGCTATTAATAATGCCGATTATGATTCTGCTGATGATGCGGCTGATGATGATGGTGATGATGATGATGCCGTTGATGATGATGTTGGTGATGATGATGCTGCTGCTGATGATGATGATGGTGATGATGCAGATGGCGATGATGATAGAGTGGATGGGGCGTGGGAAACCGACATGCTATCGAGCTCGGAAGAGGCGAGTGCCCCCTCTCGTACACCGCTTGCAACGGCTACCCTGGGAGAGCGGAGGGGAATTAACCAGCGGGGCACATGCTGGCACAGGCAACGCGCGAAGGCCGTCCCATGATCCTGAGGAAGGGGGATCGGATGAGGAGGCAATGGGTATAATGACAAATGGCAGCGGGGATCCTCAGCGTCGTCGAGCCAGAATTGATCTTCTCAAAGATCATCTTCAGCTTGAATCCGGTGCAAGGTGGCCCCAGCGCCCCTCCTGTGAAGGCAAACCAACGAGGGACACATGGAGAGAGGAGGAGGAGAAGGAGGAAGAAGAGGAGGAGGAAGAGGAGGAGGAGGAGGACGAGGAGGAGGAGGAGGACGAGGAGGAGGGTGCGGATGATGCGGAGAATGTGAATGGAGTGGATGAAGGGAAGAGGTGGTACATGATGGGGGGATAGGATGGGATGGACAGAGGTACAGGATGATGAGGATCAGGACCACTGTCAAGGATGATGATGCCTTCTGCTCGAACCTGATGCGCGGGTGCGACAGCGCTTGGCGCTGCCAACCCAGCCTGCCTGCCGTCGCGGAAGCGAAACCGCAAAGGGGGCCACGGTGGGAAACATTAGGAAGACCTAAATATCCGACGATATGCCTTTTTCGATGAGCTGCCTCCGAAATCCCGACCTCTTCCCCTGGGCCAATTTTTCGTATCATATCGGTTTTTGGTGGTCCTGGGGCCTGGAGCCGGGCCCCCGAGGCCGAAATCGAGGAAAAGCGCTGACTGACTGACTGACCGAAAGCCGCGCCCCGACGGCGCATCGGCAAAATGTAAAGCATCAGGAAAGCACACCTGCACAACATGCATGTGAAAATGTATGAAAGCCGAACAAGCACAGAGCCTCGGGGCACGTACTCCAGACCCTTTGCTCTGACGCAGCGCGAGGGTTAGTTGGAATCGAACACATCGTTTGCTCTTCAGCTCTTTTCTCGGCGGCAAATGCATTCTGTTGCGAGCGAGGCCCGGAGACTGGCCACTCATCAAGCTCAAAAGTGACCTAGAGTGAGGCCGAGCGGCGCACGCATTCGAAAGCAGAGTCCGCTCCACAAAATTCCATGTGAAATCAAGGCGGTGTCGGCGGGAGCTTGAGCGGATTTGGCGGCGAAGGAGGACTGAGCATTCACCTGGTCCCCACAAACATGCTCTTCAGCTCTTTTCTCGGCGGCGAATGCATTCTGTTGCGAGCGAGGCCCGGAGACTGGCCACTGATCAAGCTCAAAAATGGCCTGGAGTGCGGCCGAGCGGCGCACGCATTCGAAAGCAGAGCCCGCTCCACGAAATTCCCAAACCTGTAGGCCCCAAGCCGTAGTTCTCAGCCGCGGGGAGCAGAGTGCCGACAGGCACGAGGATTAAAAAGGCGAGGGCGTTCAAATGGTATGACGTTCGCTCCACGCAGGTGACAGAAGAGCCCGAGCTAATGCACTCGCCAGTTTCGGGGGGTAGGCCGCGGCTTCGCGCGCGCTTCTTCCCTCTAGTACAATGTGCTTCTTTCTCGAGAATGAACAAAAGCCGTGCCGCCCTTTACAGAGGACCGAACCTGGACGCCCTAGAAACCCAAGGTCCAGCTCAGAGCCCCCGAACAAAAGCCTAGTCGCCTTTCGATGGGGCGTCCCGAAAGCACAGTGATTCACTACGACTGTTCTACACAGAGGATGTCGGAGCAGGGCGGCAAGTGCTGGATCATGCCGAACATAGCTGCTGTGCGGGTGTTCTATACAGAAAGGGACTCTCATCCTGTTGCACAGACGGATTGTCTGCAAGCAAGAATCTAGACAGGTATTCCCAAGACGAACCTTCTCTCTTTGGATCTCAGGGAGCGCTCTTAGGCCTCGAAGGAACTGGACGCTACGCAGCGGGATACTCACATTTTGGATTGCCGAAAACGAGGTGCACGGTGGGGCCATCATGACCCCCAGCACCTGGCTCTGCCGCACTGCCCTCCGCAGGTCTGCCTCCGCGCACGGCCGGCAGAGGTCGCCGACGGGGCCCGCCTTCGCACCCCACTCGCGGGGCGCGTAGCTTGCCCGTCGCGCCGCCGACGCCGCCCGCCCTGTCCCGCTGAACAGCTCGGCCAGGAAAGGGGTCGCGGGCGCGGCGGCGGAGCTGGCTGCGGGCGCCCGCGCGCGAGGCACTCCTCGAGCTGGCGCTCGCAGTCGAGGGCGTGCTCCTTCTGGCTGGCGGTCAGCTCCCGCCAGGCATCGTTCGGGCGGCCCGCCTTCCCGTGCCTGGCGACGCTCTTGGTGGCCTTCCACCGCCCCCTCTTCAAGCGCTCGTCCAGGCTCCTGACCCGCTGAGCCCAATCGATCGAGATCCCGCTGTGGCGGCCCTGGTATGGCACCATCTTGAATCCGAGGGCCACCGCGGCCTGCACGAACATCTGGTAGAACTGGCTGTAGTCCCAAGGGGAGACCCGCTCGTCCCTGGGGCCCCGACTGAGGCGATGGAACATGTAGTTGAGCCAAGCGTCCTGGACGAGTCCACCACCACCGTGTCGTCCGCTTCGCCTGTCTTGCTGCAGGTGACGCCCTTGGCGCTCGGAAGAAACAGCTGACTCCACTAGCTCAGGCCCCCGCGAGCTGGTGGGAGCAGCGAACGTCTCGTCAGCGACAGCAGCTCCGACGGTCGCAGGTACGCTTCCACCATCGCGAGCACCGCGATCGCCGCCAGACCGTGGCCGTGGCGCACCAGCTGCAGCGCCAGCGCCGCCCACGTGGGCCAGGGCAAGGGAGTGCGGCTCATCGGCGGGCCCAGGATGCGCCAGCGTCGAAGGCATCGGAACGCTCGTGGGAGCTTCCGACTGCCGTTGCGACTGAAGCCAGGGAAGGTGAACATCACTGCCGCCAGCATGCTCTCCCCGCGCCAAGCGCGGCGGCCCTCGCTGAACTCGGCGTTCATCCACTTCGCGATGCAGTCGTCTACCCCGGCATCCTCGACGAGAGGGGCGTTGCGCTTGTCCGCGAAGGCGATCAGCTCGTCCACGTGCATCTGGTAGCGGGCGCGGGTGGCGGCCTTGACGCTGTGCGCCTCCAGGTATGTCCTCTCCTGGCGGCAGCTTCACCCTGGCCATCCGTCGCACCCGCGCCGCGGCCCGCCGGTCGTCGGCGCGCGCCGAGGCTCGCCCCGGCAGCTCCTCCTCGCAGCTGCTCTCGCTGGCGTCCTCGGCGGCAGCGGCGGCTTCGCCCGCGGCTCTGGAACTGCCCAGGAGGTCCGCCGCGGCCCGGCCCCAGCGCGTCTCTGGGGCGTGCTCCAGCTCCGTCGGCGACGGCATGGGCCCGGCGCTGACCCGCTGGTGCAGGTTGCTGCAGACTGCCCTGCTGAGCGTTCGCGCTCGGCGGGGGCCGCGGCTCGAGGGCGCCGATCCACCCGACCTGGCCGCGGGCGGCGCCGATCCCAGCGGACGGGTCAGCGCCCGCGCTCGGCTGGCCTGGCCCCGCGGGGGCATGCCGCTCGGCCAGCCTCGCCTCGCTGGCAGCCAGGCATGCGGCCGCGGTCCCCACGCTGGCGCCGCCCTTCTCGAGCCAGGATGGCTCCGGAAAGTGGATCGCTGAGGTCGCGGGTGCACGCTCGACGTCAGGGCCATCTGGGGCCTGCTCCGATCTGTCTCTCTCCCATCCACCACAAGGCAGTAGGTGGGTGACGCACTTATCCCTCTCGTACTCTTTTGAAAAACTTTTGCCCCGCTCGTCGCTGCTGTTGAACTCCGAGGGGATCCACGTATAACTGAACCTGGTCCCTCGCCCGAACGAGCAAGCTGCCGCGCGCTGAATCATTGTCGGTAGCTTGAAGTCCCGAGCCCGCGACCGTGAGAGGGCAAGGACCACCGCCATGTTGTCGCACAGCAGGAGGGCTCGGCCGTCGTGGCCTGCGCGAGAGCTAGCCACGCGCACCGCGGCCTTGACCAGCGCGAGGCCCTCGAGATGGAGGATCCCCTCCTCGAAGGCCCACCGATCGGCCAGAACTGTCCGCCAGCGCCCAGCGTGCAGCAGCTCCGCCGGCACCTCCTCAAAAGCGGGGTCCTGGCACCGGCGGTCCACCTCCCCCTCGAGGATCCTGCCTGCGCGTGCCTTCGGCGCGGCGCCGCCGCCGTCCGCAAGCAGCTCCAGGCCCGCGGCCTCCGCAGCGTGCCGCCGCGCAGCTCCCGCCCCCAGGCGATGGCGGGGCCGCCCGCAGACGCGGCCCGGCCGACGTCGCGAGGATCCCACAGCGAATATGCCAGGCCAAAGCAGGCGAGGGGCGCGTCCGACTGGTGGACCCCAGGGAGCCACCTGGCGTCCCAGTCCGCGTGGAGGAAGATCATCAGGCCCGTGAAGGCCCGCAGCTCCTCGGCCACGCTCCGCCACAGCTCGGCCCTGTCGAAGTAGCGGCGCTGGGTGAAGCGGTATGTGCAGTGGAAGCAACTCAAGCTCTCGCGGCGCACCAGGCCCAGGAACGTGAGGTGTCCCGCGACGATCTCCAGCTCGACGCCGCTCACCTTGCAACGCCGCAGCAGCGCCTGCACCGCGCCGCGAAGGTGCCAGAACCTGGAGGGCGTGGATCGCGTGCACCCCTCGCGGCCGTTGAGCTGCGCCCCGAGCGCCTCCCCGCCGCCATTCACCAGCGCGGTCCCGTGCACCTCGGGCCACACCTGACCGAACGACTCCGTGGCCGCCTCCAGCGCCGACCTCACCTGGTCCGAGCCCCCCAGCACCCTTATGTTGTCCTCGTAGGTGTAATGGCCGAGGGCCAGCGGGCTGTCCAGCAGCAGCGGGGGGCCGCGGTCTGACATGGGCAGGGCCCCGTCCAGCTCGCGCAGCAGCGTCATGCGATGCGCGTTGGCCGCCTGGGCGAAGTGCAGCGACCAGGCCCAGCTCGTCGGCAGCGCGCGGGCAAGCGGGTAGAGCAGAGTGCCCCGCTCCAGCGCCACCCCGCCCAGCTGCCTGAGGCCGCGCTCGGCGGCGCGCAGCGGCGGGTGGCCGCAGAACTCCCGGAGACCTGGCCCGTCGTCCAGGAGCAGCCAGTGGAAGCAGTCCTTCACGTCGCCCGCGCCGAGCCAGGTGTCGAGGCCACCCGGGGCGTCGTCCAGCTCCTCGCCCCGGCCAAGGCCGCTCGTCGTCGACCTCTCGATGCGGCGGAGGCCGTCGCCGCTGACCAAGTCGACCCCGGGCGGACTCCTGAACGGGCGATTCGCCGGGCGGCAGTCCAGGATCAGCGGCCAGCGATCTTCTTTTTGACGAAGAAGATCCCCGCCTGGCAGCGGCGCGTGGTCGACAAGCGCACCAGGCCTATCTTCAGCAGCCGCTTCACCAGGCCGACGTGGGCGGGGCGCTCGTGGCTCAAAACAAGGCCATATAGGGTCGAACTGGACCGCAACGTGCGTTTTATTTCGCCCACCTCTGCAAGCGAACGCATCATGTGGCTCTCATGCTCCTTCAACTGAGTCCGCGCCGCCTCCGGCAGCAGGTCCGCGACGCGTGGCGATCCCGCCGGGTCTTCCGGGGCCGACAGCCGGGCGTGGGAGAAGGGGGTCACGTCGCGTGGGCCAGCTGGGCGTAGCCGCCTCGGCCCCGCAAGTCGTGCCAGACATTGCTGCGAATCCTCCGCGCTGGCAGGGGCGCCCCAGCTGGCCGCCAAGAGTTGCGCCACCCGCTGCGTCTCGTGCTGTAGCTCTGCCACGCGGCAACGCGTGGCCCAGCTGGGCGGCGCGCCAGGCGGCCGTCTCTCAGCGCCGTGCATCCAATTCAGGGCAGCCAGACTCTCATTGGCCAGCCGTCGCACGCGCGCCCGATCCTGGCGACCGAGCAAGCCGGCGACGTCGGCGTTCAGCTCGCGCAGGGGCGGCAGAAGGTAGATCTGCCCACCGCGCGTGGCCTCTGCTTCCAGGCCGGGGGGCGGCCCCGCCCCCAGCCTCGCGCCCGTCATTTCGATGGGGCGGTGGCTCCCGCGTCGCCGGGCTTGATCTTCCGCCCGTGACCGCGGCCGCGGCCGCCGCCGCCTCTGCCTCCGTCGCCCTCGGCGCCGACGCGGGGAGGGCCTCCCGCATCCAGTGCTCCAGCCACGTCATCGCTGCGGCTGGCTTCGCGACCGCCGGCCGCCAGCGTCCGCCCCCGGCCCGGCGCAGCCAGCCGCTCGGCCTCGCCCCGAGCCGCGCGGTTCGCGAAGCTCCGCAGTTCGGGCGACGCCGCGTCGAATGGGTCGCTGGTGCCTGTCAGGAAACGACCTGCCTCCCAGGCTGCGGGCTGCCCGGGGGCAACGCGATGGGCCTCGGTGATCTGGGCGATCCGCCGCGCCGCCGCCTCCAAGCAGGCTGAGCCCTCGAGGTTCACTGCATCGAACGTGCCGGCAAGCCAGAAGATCGTCACTAAGAAGTTCAGCTCATGCCAGGTTCGGCCCCGCTGGTCGATGCCGTACTCACGGCAGAAGTTCGACATCCACGTCTTGAGGTCGCCGCCGTGCTGCGTGAACCTCTGGCTCAAATGCAGGGCTGTTCCCGCTCCTCGCAGGTCGCAACCGTCCACGGCCTCCTCGCTGCTCTCGCCGACGGCGTGTCGCCACTCCTTGAAGCGGACGCCCTGCTCGTTCCACTCCGCCGCCAACGTCCTGACATCCTCGGGCTGCTGCTCGGCTCGGGCCTCGCGTGGTGTGCTCGCCCCGCCGACCTCTTCGACTGGGGCGCGCAGGGCATCTCGCAGGTCCCGTGGCCGACCCTCCTCAGCGGGCGCGGCCCCATCGGGGGGCGGCGGAGGCGGGGCCAGGCTCCGAGCGTTATCGAATCCCTGCGCCCGCCAGGCAGCAATGTCCGAGAGCGGCGCCCGCTCGCGCAGCGCCGGCCGCCCGTCCGCGCGGCGCCCGATCACCGTCGTGCCCGCGGAGACGTCGGTCCCGCTCGCGGCCAGCTCGTCGCCCAGCGCCAGCCCGCCGCCGGCGTGGAGCTCCGCCACCAGCAACGCGCTCTCCGCGCCCTCCAGCGGCGCAGCGTCACCCAAGGCGGGGCGGGTGACCTCCTCATCGCCGGGCGCCTCTGGCACATGCCCGCCGTCCAGCAAGGGGGCGCTTCCCGCGCAGCCTGCGTCGAGCCGCCTCCAGCACTCCAGCATCCAGGCCGCGCTCGTCGCCGTGCCAGTCCACCATCGTCGTCGGGTCCTCGCCGAGGTGACCGCCCAGCTCGGGCGGGAGGCGACGGCGGCGGCGCTCCTCGCGCGCCAGGTCGCGACCTTCCAGCACCATCTGGCGCAACGCTTCTCGGCCCACCTCGGCCCGGAAACGCACCACGTTGCCCGCAAAGCCCTCCGGCCAGCCGTGCAACAACGAGACATGCCACCGCCAATCCGCCTTCCGCTCGACATAGCGATCGCCCTCGGGTGTCTCGATCACCCAGCACTCGTGGCGCCGATCGCGGTGAACGGGCCACAAGAGGATCCTTTCGTGCGTCCGCTCATCGGCCGGCGAACCGCACCAGCAGTCGGGAGCCCGGCCGCCTCTCCTCGTAGGTCGACATGGTCGCGAGCCGCCCGCGGCGGCGGGGCCGAACCCTCTGCCACGCTCCAGCGGCCAGCCGCGAAGGCGAGCGCCACCGCCAACAACCACAAATCGAGCCGCGCGTGCAGGGCCTCGACCCCGCCTGCTGCCGCCGTCGGTGGGAGCGGCGCGGCGCGAGGCTGCCCCCCGCGGGCGGCTGCGACGGGCCCAGGCCCGACGCACCGCCGCTTGGGCGGCCTCGCGCCACGCCTGCGTGCAGCAGACAGGGCGGAGGGTGGGAGAAAGAACGCGCGCCAGGGAGGCACCCGCCGCGCGCGCGCGCGGGGCGCGCGCGCGGCGCCTCCTCCAAATGCAAATCGCCTGCGAAGCGCACGCGCCGCGGGGGCAGCGACCCCCCCCCGCGGCGACGCAACCCCGGCGCTAGCAAATCACCTGCGAAGCGCACGCGCCGCGGGGCAGCGACCCCCCCCCCGCGACGCGCAACCCTGGCGCGCGACGGCGCGATGGCCCGCGCCTGCGCAGCGAGGCCGCGGTCGCGTCGCACTGCCGCGCGCGCGACCTACGCGCAACCGTGGCCGATTTGTGCCCGCCCACAACGGTGAACGTCCGCGTCTGCGAGCGGACTTGCCGCCGTGGGCCTACCACAAATCGAGCCGCGCGCGCAGGGCCTCGACCCCGCCTGCTGCCGCCGTCGGCGGGAGCGGCGCGGCGCGAGGCTGCCCCCCGCGGGCGGCTGCGACGGGCCCAGGCCCGACGCACCGCCGCTTGGGCGGCCTCGCGCCACGCCTGCGTGCAGACCCAATGCCACACGGCACGCAGGCGACACGGGCCGGCAACGCGCGCCCACCCGCTGCCGAACGCGCGGGGGCAGAGCACGGGCGCCGTCGCGCGCACCCGCCCACGCACAGAAGCGAAACGTGGCGGCGCTGGCCGCCGGCGCCTAGCAGGCACCCTCGTCCGAATCCGACTCCAGCATGTGCGCCTGGCGCGAGCAGCGCGCCGCGGCGCGGGCGGAGGGCGCGTGGCCCCGCCTCCACGACCGCGTCCCTTTCCAGATCGTCACGGTCGAGATGCGCCATGAAAGCGCAGGACCGCCACTCCCCGGCCGCGAGAATCTCGGCCAGCGTCGCTCCAGCCTCCTGCAGGTCCTTGGCGTGGCCCCTGCGGAAGTCATGCAACCGAAACAGGCTCGCCCCCTGGACACCGATGGCAGCGAGCATCTCGCGCAGGGTCCGCAGCGCAGCAGCCGCCGAGATGCCTCCGAAGAGCCCGCGGCTCAGCCCGCAACGCGCCACCCAGGGGCCCAGGGTGTGCACGGGGCACGTGGCGCGGCACGATGAGCACCAGCACTTCCGCGACAGGCGACTGCCCTGCGGCCGGTTCTTCCGCCGCCGCAGCAGCAGCGTGAGCTCCGATTTGCCCAGCACTAGCGCCGCTTGAAAGGGCGGCGCGTCGCCGGCGTCGGCCACGCGCACGGCCGGCAACGCCTCGCTGGGAACACGCAACAAGAACGTGTAGGCGAAAAGGAAAAGCATCGACGCGCGGAGCCACTCGGGGCGGCGCGCGCCCAACTCGACCAGCGCGGCGACCGCGCTCTTACGGATGAACAAGCGCGGGCGCGGAGTCCAATCGGCCCGCGCCCGGACGGCGGCGCGCGCACGCCTGACCTCGGGGCGGTCGAACACGGCGACGCAGACCCCAGTCAGGAGGCAGCCGATCTTAACGTAGCTGCAGTAATTTGCGTACGTCTCCCCGCAGCGAAAGAGGGCGCTCCAGGCGACCAGGTCCGCGCAGGCTGGCGGGAGCTGCATGCGCGGGTATTTCAACATTCTGATGCAGTAGGCCTCCCAGCATTTGAGGCCGCTTCTCACGCTTGGGAGCGACCGTGCGCATGGTTGCAGCATAGCGCGAACGCGTTCCTCCTCCCGCCAGCGGGCCGCGTCCGCCGGACTGCGGAGGCGAGCAGCGGCCTCGGCGAGCGCCGCCCGGGGCCCGCGCGTTATTGGCAGCGCGACCGGCGCGCCCAGCTGGTCGAGGACGCTCGGGACGGGCGCCTCGCGAGCCACGGCGCGCGGGCATGCGCAAGCGCGCGGGGCCGATGACGCGCGCCTGTGGCGGCCCAGGGGGTGACCCCGGGGCGCTCGGCGCCGCGCGTCTCGCCGGCGACCGGCTGCGGGCGGGCGCGCGCCCTCCAACTGCCGAGCCCACGGCGACGGGCGCGCCTGCGAGGCGCACGCGCGGCGGGGGGGGGGGGCCGCGCGCGCCAAAAACCCTCGCGCAGCCGAGCCTCGGCGCGCAGCAATCCTCGCGGCTCTGAATAATTCGTGCAGGACTTCGACATTGGCCTGCGCGGTGACCGGCCAACCTTCCAGGTCTGCGGCGTCTGCACTGGCGAGCTCGCAGGCTCGTGCGAAGCCGTTCTCAGCCAGGAAATCAGCAGCCCAGGCGACGGCCGTCCTGGGCGCTGTCGGGCGCAAGGAACACAATTCAAGGAATAACGACATGATGCCGCGCGGCACGCCTGACAATGCGAGCGACGCGCCTGAGGCACTGGCCGCGTGCACTCCGCTTGCGACAAAACGCGGGACCCTAGGATGACAAGCGCGGCGGCGCGCCGAACGCTTTGCCGCGCCCAAACTTAAGTATCGCGACGCCCCGACGCACAAGATGGCACCCGGGCGCGACATGGCGCGCGGTTTAGCCGAAGAGGCGGGCCACAGAGAGAGCGCCCCAGGCATCCGCGTGCCAGAATTCTTCGTCGAGCCACGGGCGCGTGCGCACCGCGCCGATGCGTAGCAGGAGTTCGTCGTCCCCCCTGCGACACGCTGCGCCCGCGGCCAGCCCGCAGCACCGCGCGGCGCGCACGGGCGCGCCGAGAAGGCAAATCGGCCAGATTCTCAGCCGTGGGCACGCGGAAAACCGCGAGGTCAACGTCGAGCTCCACCGCGCGCCTCCACATGGAGTGGACGATGCACGAGTGGTCGAAGGATTTCGCGGCGCCCTTCCGCAGGCAAGACTCCGCGCCGGTATTGTCGCTGTAAATATGCAAGTCGCAACCTTGCACTTCCCCTGAGCGCAGCGAAGACGAGGGGCCGGACCTGCCCGCCGGCGCGGGCAGTCGCACGCGAAAGCAATGCCTGCAAAGGTGCACATGCCCAGCGCGATAGACAGGAGCTCCAGCCCCTGAATCTGGTTGTCCCGGCGACGCTGGAACGACGCCATCAAGGAATCCGGGGCGACCATGGAAGTGAAACGGATGCCCGTGGCGGTGACGAGCACCGCGGCCACGCGCGGTGGTTGGCCCGACGCGTCCGCGAAGAGAGTTGCGCGAGGCCGCGCCTTGTCGGCCCACGGCCGCGCTTGGCACAAGTCCATGGCCAAGACCTCGCGCCACCACTGCAGGGCAAGCATCAAAGGCTCATGGGCCTTCGATGCCCCGCGATGCGATTGCGCGTGCAACGGCCTGCGAGCACGAAGCGCGGCGCCCCGCCCCCCCGGGCGCGCGGGGGCAGCGCCGCGCCTGAGGAGGGCGCGCCCCAGGCGGCGGAAGAGATGCGACGCTGCCCAGGCCAAGCCCCCGGCCAGCTTGGACGATGCGCCTGCGCAGCGAACGCAAGGCCCCGACACATTAGGGGGGGCGCGCGAGCCGCCTGGCGCGAGGGCGCGCGTCGCGAGCGCCTCGCCGATGACACGCTGCCACTTGGCGGTCTTCGCGGGTGCGGGACGCGCGCAGAACGCGCGTGGCAGCACCTGGCGATGCGCGCAGCCGGCCGGCCGGCGCGTCGCGCCAAGGCCGCCCCGCCTTGATTTCGAGGCCGAGGATGACCAGCGGGGACCCCCAGGCGATCTTGTCCGGCGCCACCGCGCCTGGGCCGAGCATCAGCTGAATTAGCTCCGCCAGCTGCGCTGATGCATGCTCCACCACTTCGGGGTGATCCGGCCCAAAATAATCATCCACGTATCGCAGCGCAGCGATCCGCAAGAGCACGCGCGCCGCCTCCGCGATGAAGGCACCCACTCGCGCCCAGCTGTGCACCGACGACGTGGCCCCGAAGGGCGCTGCCGCGTGCTGCGCCGCCCAGACCTGCCCGGCGGCGCTGAACACGATCCAAGCGAACCGGCGGTGCTCAGCGCGAATGGGCACGCGACGAAAGGCAGCGTCGATGTCTGCCTTCCAGAGGGCGGGTGCCCGCCCCGCAACTTCCTGGAAGATGCGAGCTGCTTCGAAAAGCGCGTCCACGGCATCGTGGTGGAGCCGCTCCTGAGGCCGCGTCGCCTCGTTAATCCTAGCCTTGGTCATGTCGTCGACCAACCGGAGTTTCGAGGACCCGTCTTCACGGAGCTGCTCAACCGCAAACCTCGGAGCGATGACGGCCCCGTCCAGGCACACGTCGCGGAGCGGCACCGGGCAACTGATGCGCCCCAGCTCGGCCTCGTCCCGTGTCTTGCGGAGGATGGCGTCGCCGTGCGCGCCGTCGCGGAGGCCACAGGACATGTCGCGATTTGTCGACTCGGCGTTGCCGAGCAGCTCCGCGATGCCCAGACGGGGAGGGAACACCTCTGGGCTGCCGTGGCCCGACCGCGGGAGCTCGCCGACGAGGGGCGCCCCCGTCCTGAAGAATTCCACGCAGCCTGGGTCGCAGAAGGCAATGCGCTCCGCGATCTCTGCGCAGAGAGGCCCGTTCACGTGCTGTGCGACGCGCCGTATGGCGGGGTCCACCCCCCGGAACCATTCTTCCACGGCGCCACTGGCCCGGAGAGCCCGATCCCTTTCGCGAAGCGCCGCGAGTTCGCCCTCGCGGAAAGCCACCACGTCGGCGGGGGCGGTCTGCGCGGCCCACCGCGCTGCCTCAGCGGCCGTGGGCGGCAAAGCCGAGGCCGCGGCGGGCCGCCACTTGCCCCAGAGCGCGGGGTCGCCGTCCAGCGCCCTTGCCAGAAAGGTAAGTTTCTCCGCGTCGCCGCCGCTACAGCCGCCGGCCGCGACGCAGATGTCGCGCCACGCGCTGTCGCTGCAACGCCGAGACCAATCGCTCCTGAATTGCGGCCCTGGTGGCGCTGGCGGCGCCGGCATCACCTGACGCGCGCCGCTGGCTCGCGCGCGACCGAGAGCCGGGAAAGCGCGCCTTGCGAGATTTGGCGACGACGCATGCAGCCCCAGGCGCCGCCCGCTTTCGCGCGCCAGATGCGGGCGGCGGGGGCGGCGCCGGCACGGCAGGCATTGCACAAGATTGCAAACCGCGGACGTGGACAAGGCGCCAAAGCGTAGCGAAAAGCGCCCTCGGAACGCACGCTGCCCCGCGGAACTCCCCCGCACGCCCTGCCCAGGCTGGCCGCGGCCAAGCCGGGCACTCGCAGCGCGGCGCGGAAAGCGAAGCGGCCTCCGCGGCAACAGCGCACGCGGCATGTCCCAGCACGCGAGTGGGGGTCCTGCGCGCGGCGCACGGGGCCATTTTTTTAAGCGACAAAGCGTAGAACTATCGGGCGCGCCCGGGTCACGGCTCCGACCCGGCGCGGGCGGAGGCAGGCTTTTGCGCGCGAGCCGTTCTGACGGCTGAAGGGGCTCCACCCCTACGGGGGCTCGCGCGCGCCCTGCCAGGGCGGCGCTCAGCGCTTCGCCGGGCGCGGCGGCGTCCGTACCTTCCTCGTGTCCTTTTTCTTCCAATCGCTGCCCCACGAGCGCTCGCGCTTCTGGCCCTTCGGCCAATCGCTGCCCTAGGAGCCGCTGCTCCAGCTCTGCGCGGCGCGCCGCGGCTGGCTGGCGCCGCCCGCCCCGCGCGCCTTCTCGGGAGCGCGGGCCGCCGGTGCCTGCGCGCGCGGAAACGGCGGAGAAAGGTGGCAGAAGCGAACCCGCGCGGCGCGACGCTCGCCGTCGCGTGGGTGGCGCCGTCTTCTTTGTCGCAAGCATCCCGCGCCAGCTGTAGGGCGCGCGGGTCGACCCGCAGGATCGTCTTCCCCAGCTTGAAATCTGGGCCCCCCGAGCGTAGCTGTTCGGCCCATAGCTGCCGCGCGCCGGCACAGACGCAGGGCGCCGCGCAAGCACGAACGCAGGGGCGCGCCTTCGGCGCCTCCTCGTCGTGCACGATACCGAGGTGCACGCGGCGCTTCGAGGCCGCCGCCTGCGCGGCAACGCGCGGCGAACAGAGAGCGACGAGAAATCGCGCGCGTGCAGCCTGAACCGCCACCTTCAAGCAGTTGTCGCGATGCGCCTGCACCTCAGCCCACGTGAGCTGGCCCGTGGCGACCAGCGCGACCATGTACCTGCCGCGCGCGGCGCGATAACAGGCAGGCGCGCGGGGGGGGCGCGCGACGGGCAGGTGGCGCCGGTTCCAAGCCAGTTGCCACTGGCAGAGGGTTAAGTAGGCCTTCTTCTCGGGCCCTTTCTTCACCGCCGCCACTTCCTGCGGGGCGAGCGCCCGCGCGCGGGCCAGGCAACGCGCGCGCGGCGCGAGCCTTGGCGAGGTCACGAATGTCCTTGCTGGCGCCGGACGATCCGTCAGCCTCCTCTTCGAAATCGCGAGGGCCCGAGCGGGCCCACTCGGGCACCCACTTGCGGATGTCCGAGTACAGGAAGACGCGCGCTTCCTCGCTGGATTCCTTCTTCTGCCGCTTCAAGACTTCCGCGTTCAACGCGTCAAGCATGTCGGAGCTACCGGCGCACGGGGCCAGATGCGAGAACCAGCGCGCGCGCGAGCGCGCCTGGGCCAGAACTCTTGCGGGAGGTTGGCCAGCGACGCCTTGCCGAGGAGAGGGCCCAAGAGTACGCGGGCCGGCTTTTCCTGCGAACGCGCCGCGCGGGGCCACGCGAGCCCGAGATCGCGTCGAGATCGCTTGCGCCTCGCTGGTGCCCGTCTTGAGCGCGGCCAAGAGGGCGGCCGCGTTCTCCGCCGCCGAGGGCGCTGGAGGGGCGGCCGCCGCCGAGCCCCCAGCCACCGGCGCCGGCGTGCTCGCCGCGGCGATCCCCGCGCGCACGAGGCGCTTCTGCGCGGCGTCGAGCTCCTTGTCGGCAAAAGAGAAATCCTCGAATGCCGCGCCCTCTAAATCGGCGATCGTCGCCGCACCTTGGCCCGTCAGCGCGGTCACCGTGGCTTCGAGCCAACCGGCCTCGTGCGCCGACGCGCCGTCCAATGCGCCAAGAAAACTGCCGAGGTCGCCCATCGCGAAGAGCGGTGCCGCGCGGCGCGAGACAGCTTGGGCGCCCGAACTCGGCGAGCTGCCGGTGTGAGCGCGCACAGGACGGAGACTGCGCGGGACCCCAAGAGGTGGCGACCAGGCCTGCGCCCCTCACGAGAGGGGGAAGACCAGGGGCCTGCGCCCAACCCAAGAGAAGGCCCGGGAGCTCTCCCAAGAAGAAGCCAGAGCCCAGCCAGACGGGGTCTTGGGGCCTGCGCCCTACCCGACACAGGGATCAACGGGATGCGCCCTCCCCCTTTGCACAAATGGGTCCTGGGGCCTGCGCCCTACCCAAGACAGGGATCTACGGGATGCGCCCTCCCCCTTTCGCACGATTGGGAGGCACCCGCCGCGCGCGCGCGCGGGGCGCGCGCGCGGCGCCTCCTCCAAATGCAAATCGCCTGCGAAACGCACGCGCCGCGGGGGCAGCGACCCCCACCGCGGCGACGCAAACCCGGCGCTAGCAAATCACCTGCGAAGCGCACGCGCCGCGGGGCAGCGACCCCCCCCCGCGACGCGCAACCCTGGCGCGCGACGGCGCGATGGCCCGCGCCTGCGCAGCGAGGCCGCGGTCGCGTCGCACTGCTGCGCGCGCGACCTACGCGCAACCGTGGCCGATTTGTGCCCGCCCACAACGGTGAACGTCCGCGTCTGCGAGCGGACTTGCCGCCGTGGGCCTACCACAGCCAAGGGCACCTCGCTCCTGTCCCCCGGCGCCTCCTTGCCGGCCGACACGGCCCAAGGCGGACCCGCCGCCAGGCAGTCCCACGCCGGGCAGGGAGCGGAGGGCGGGCAGCCCGGGCACGGCGGGCAGGGCGCTGGGCGGCACTCGGGACAGGGAGGGCAGCTCTGCGTCCCCGCCAGCGCCAGCCGCGCCGTCTCCGCCACGGCCCCGCGCGCCAGCTCCCGCAGCACGCCGGGCCCCACCGCCGCCAGGGCCGCGCAGAGCCCCGCCACCATCAGGCGTCGCGGGGCCTCAGCGCGCTGAAGCTTGAACGGATTTGGCGGCGACAGACCGACAAGGAGCACGGAGCATTCACGTGGTCCCCACAAACATTGTCGAGATCCAGGAAGCAGGCCATCCAGCGACAGGCCCACGGCACACACCGGCAAAACCCCAGGGTGCACGACCGCAGCGCGTTCCGGGCGAAAATGTCATGACCGCTTAGGTCGCCACGACCGTCGCTGCGTCCTGCAGGCAAGATCACCAATGTCGAATCGAGAACTCGGATCGAATCGGAATGTACGTCGGATCGGACCGCATCGGTACGGAGTCGGCATCGAATCGGATCGGCCGCGCCAGGATGCACAACAGCGCCATGCAATCGTCGGGCCGAATCGGATCGAAGGAAAATCGGATCGGGCTGGCTCCGATCGGAATCGAATCGTATCGATCGGGTCGGAATGGACCCTGTGCAGGTGGGGCCAGAAGGGGGGGAAACATTTTGCTCAACCTACGTGTCGAGCTCCGCCAGGCCCATCCACATGGGATACCTCCTCATCTCGGCTACACGCAATTTTGACTCTAGGCAACAGTGACCTTTGGTGCGCGGCTTTGGGGGGAGCTGGGGGGCCAAACCCGAGCGCGGGAGCCGCTGCTACCCACACCAACCTGTGAGGCCGAAAATGGTCAAAACAGCCATCTCGTCATTTTCTTTCTAGCCTCCACATGTCTGGGCATGTCCGCTCCCTGGCGTCCCTCACATGATTTTCTCAGTCAGCGACCCTGAAAATCCCGAGCCCTTCCCCACGGGTGATTCTTCGTTCTGGATGCACTTCTGATGGCCCGGGCTCCCGAGGACGGCCCCCGAAGGCTGATGTCGAAGACAGACACCCGGACTGACAAACATCGAATCGTCGGAGATCTGGGCTCTGCCCCCTCTCCGCCCAAGCCGTGGCTGGGCAGCGCAGTGGTCCCCGAAGCGGACCCAGCGGCTCCTGCGCTGAGCGAGTCGGAGTCGGGGTTGCTGGTGTCGCACGTGTCCGCCGTGACCTGCCGCTGGTGGGTCGCGTCCTGGCCCCCGCCCGGCCGCTGGCTGCAGCGGCTGCAGCAGGACGCTGGAGGGAGGGGGAGGGATGAGGAGGAGCATCCAAGGGCGCACGCAGCCACTATCGCATCGCGCTCAGCGATCGATCGGGAGGCCCTGGTGAGCCCGCACCAGAGGTCACTCCGGGGAAGGGCCACTCTTGCGTGTAGTCGAAAGGAGGGGGCCTGGTGGCCCAGGAGGCCCGGCCAGCGAGGCGAGGACTTTAGGCGGGGGCACGGCAGCCACGCTGGACGAAAAGCGGGCCCGAGGCGTCGTTCACTCGAGCCGAGTGCGAATGGAGCGGAGTGCTGCGCGGTCTGCTGCTGGAGTCACCTGCAGCACGGCCTCGGGCACACGGATCACGGCGGTGGGAGCAGGAGAAGGACGCAGAGGAGGGAGGAGCAGGAGGGAGTGGAGGAGAATTCGCCTTCCGCTCATCGCGACCCTCCTTGCAGGGCGGCGTCGATGCACCGCGCGCACACCGCCCCTTTTATACTGACTCTGCCAGGGTGGAATCTTGCCACCTCCATCGAGGATGCGCTCCATTGTAAATTGGTTGTGCAGGCTCACCTCAAGGATGTGCATGGAAGGCCCAAGTCATTTCTGTAAGTTCGCGCGCGTATCGCGCGAACCGTGATCATTTTCGCGCTCTCGCACCGCCAACCTGAGGGTTACTACTCTCCGGCCCAGACTACGACGGGCGTTGATCTTCGCTCCTCGGCAGGTGACCTGGTGGATGCTGGTCGTGGAGGCTCGCCCTGGGGCGTATCCAAGGCCTTTGCAGAGGACCGCGACGTGTTCGAACGACGAAATGGCCCTATCCAGAAGATGCGTCCCTGAAGCGGGCCTGTGCTGACGGTGAAGGCGACGACGACTTCGCTTTTCTGGCGAGCAGCCACACACCTGGTGGCCCTTTACGCTCGCTGGCCCTCCCGCGACGTCAGCGGCGGCGCCGCTCGTGCACTCCCCGCCCGCCAGTCCACCGCTCAACATGAACGTGCCCTACGAGATCCTCGCGGTTGGTGCTCGTTCGCTGACCCCACGCGCGGCTCCCTGAGGAGACTCACTCGCTCTCCGAGAAGCCCATCTCCTCCACGACGTCCTTGCCGGCGTCGCTGGCCGCCGCGGCCGTGCCGCCGCGCGCCCTCTTCGCCTTCGCCTCCGAGCGCTCGTCCGCCGCCTTCGACTCCAACTTCTCCTTCGCCTCCCGCAGCCTCCTCCTCTTGAGGGCCTTCTTGCTGGTCCCCTCGCCGGGGGCGGAATCGACGGGGGCCTCTCTCTGGAGGGCGTCGTCGACAGCTCCCCGGGGGTCGTTGCCGCCCTTCTTCTTGCCGCTCGCCTTGGGGCGCCCAGAATCCGCCACCGTGTCTGAATGTTGTGGAGCCTTCGACTGCTATCGGCCACTTGTCTGGAAGGGCTTCCTTTGTCTTCTAGGCGCGACCCCTACATAAGAGCGCTCTACGTCGCCGTCTTCGGCCTTCAGACGGCCCGAGAGGGCTCTAGGACGGCCCCAGGACCCGCGCCCAGCCGACCCGAACATGGTTTAGCGGAGCCTCTTCGGGAAGGCTCGGAAAAAACCATCGCGCCCAAGACGGCTCCGAGACGACCCAAGCGGCCCTCAACGGGCTCCTCAGCGGCCCCCCAAGGGTCCCAAGAGGTCCCCCAGGAAGCCCCAATGAAGAATCCAGGAAACATGTAAGATGACTTCAAGAGGAACGAGGGGGAATCAATGGAAAGAGTAAGGCAGATAAGCACAGCCATGCTGCGGACAAACAGTTGGTGCTTGAGACCTGGGCCAGCTCAGCCACGGCACTGAAACGGAGCGTGCCTGAAACCCAACCTCCTTCATGCTGCGCTGCTGCGCCGGCACTGCGGTGCGGTCTGCCGCAGGCAGCTGGACGGCGAGATCGAGCTCTCCTCCCCGGGGGAAGGGGAGGAAGAGGATGGGCCCAGAGACCTGGTGCCTTGATTTTCTCAACACGTGGTCCCCGGGGATCTCGACACTTTCCACGGGGCCAATCTTCATCCCTAGTGGGTTTTTTGACGGCCCTGGGGGCCAAGGCTCCCAAAGGCCGATCACGGTGACAAGCGTCCGTCATACCTTTTTTTCAATATGTCGGAGGTCTGGGGGGGGCGGGGGGAAGAAGGCGAGGAAGAGGATGAGACGGCTTCCATCCATGCGGCTTGGGCCGCGCTGGTCGCCGCGGCGCGGTCTTCCCGCATCTCCGCCTCCACGCGGCTCTTGTCTTCCTCCGCGCGCCTCTTCAGCGCCGCTGCGCGGGCCTTCGCGATGGCAGAGTCGGGCGGGAAGAGGAGAAACTTCTTGAAGGAGGGCGCCTCCGCCAGTGCCTCTCGCCTGCTCCGGATGTCCTCTGCGCTCGTCTCGGCAGAGGCCACGAGGCTCTTGAGCTGGTGCCGCAAGGACTCTGAGGAACAGTGCTTGCTGTGCTTTCTGAGGTGCAGCATGACAGTTGCAGATATCTCGGGGAAAGACGGGGACTGGCTCAGGAGACCCAAGTGATCGGTAAACAAGAAACACAAACTACTCCCAACAGTCTCCAACGTCATAGATTCCATTACCTGTCCTTCGCTGAGCCGGAGTAGAACCTCGAGCTCAGGAGCCCGTGCAATGCCGCCTTTTGAGCCCGTGTCTCCTTTCTTCTTCTTTGCCTTGTCCATAGCTTGGAATAGCACGTCGAAGGACTTCAAAAGGTGCGAAGAGATCGGAACAAACGACTCCAGCGCGGACCCCAGGCGGTTCAAGCAGACGAGGCCATGATACACGAAAGGGAAGTAATTCAGAGCTGTGAGCTTGCTCTTGACCGCTCCGAGAATGACCATGAAGAGCGGATAGGCCAGCGGCCTTGGAGCTGCGGAAGGAGGAGGCAGAATATGAGGGATGAGGGGAGGGGGGGTAATTAGGAGGAGGAGGAGGAGGAGGAGGAGGAGGAGGAGGAGGAGGAGGAGGAGGAAGAGTAGTGTAAACCTAAGAGTCATCAACGATGTCGGAGCTAACCCTCCCTCCAAGCTCCCTCTTCATAGGCCCCTGCAACGGTTCATTTTTATTGAACGAGCTGCTCCACCGTTTGAAGATCCTGAAACATGCCAAAATATTGTTGTCGGGATTTCCACGCCACGATCCGGAATCGTGCCAGAACGCCATTGTCGGGACTTCAACACCGCGAATCAACATAACTGTTGCACCCGCATTATCCTGAATCCTTCCAAAACACAATTTCTGGTACGTTGATCATGGGAATCCGTGGAACTCTTGCAACTTCCCAGAACGAGTATGCGCGGCGCTAAGGCGAGAGCCACATTTTGAAAAGAAACCGCCCTCAATCCGTGAAGCTCTCTTCAATGTTTAAGACAAGTGTGCGTGGCGCTGAAGCGAGAACCACATTTTGAAAACGACCCGCCCTCAATCCGTGAAGCTCTTGCAATTTTTTGGAACAAATGTGCGCGGCGCTAAGGCGAGAGGCACATTTCGAAAACCACCCGCCCTCACCCCGTGAAAATCTCGCAGAGTTTAACACGAATGTGCGCGGCGCTAAAGCGAGAACCACATTCTGAAAACGACCCGCCCTCAATCCGTGAAGCTCTTGAATCTTTGTAAAGCGAATGTGCGCGGCGCTAAGGCGAGAGGCACATAGTGAAAACCACCCGCCCTCAATCCGTGAAACTCTTGCAACTTTTCGAAGCGAATGTGCGCGGCACGAAAGCGAGAACCACATGTTGAAAACGACCCGCCCTGAATCCATGAAGCTCTTGCAAATTTTGAAAACGAATGCGCGCGGCGCTCAGGAGAGAGCCACATTTTGAAAACAACCCGCCTTTTATCCGTGAAACTGTTGTCACTTTTTCAGCTTCAGAATCATTCATGGTGAAGAAGTCTCAGGCGAAACGCCTGGCCCGCCCTAAACACTGGCCTCGGGGTGCGACAGGGAGAAGTTATCTATAAGGAGAAGGAATGGAGGAGGAGGAGGAGGACGAGGACGAGGAGGACGAAAAGGAGGAGAAAGAGGAGAAAGAGAGGAGAGGAATTCGAATATGACGAGGAGGAGGAGGAGGAGGAGGAGGAGCAGGATGAGGAGGACCTTTTTGTACAATGCACCGCTAACGCTCAGACTCCTAGGGCTGAAAACATGCCAGTGTCTGGCCGCTAGGGCAGAAAATTCATGCATCAGCCCAAGATACGACGGTCTTCGCCGGAGGAAGGCCTTTACAAATTCTCTGCAAGACTTCCAGCTGCGCTTTGGTTACAACATGCGGTCTGTGCGTGACGGCAGGACACGGACCTCTCAATAAAGCACCGGGAGACCTGTTGGCCCAAGACCCGCACTCGCCACAAAAGAAAAAGCAATACTTACGCCACAGCACGTGCGTGGGGTGCACAGGTTTGCCAGAAATCCAAGGGGAGACTCGAATGGTTTCGGGGTCCAAGCGAAGCGACCGCCACAGGGACTCGTCTCGAGGCGAAAGCTGCCTGCCTGGACGAGCCCATTTTCTCGAAGACATTCCCCCCCCCGTCCTCACGCACACGCGCACGCACACACACAGCCCCGCCCCTCCCTCCAAGGTGGCGAAGCAAATCCAAGCAAGGCGAGCGCGGAGAGAGGGGCCAGTGCCTTTTGACTTGTCCCTGGCAAAGTGAACAAGACCACACACCTGCAGACAACAACCGATGGTGCGAACTGGACCGAACATCTGACTCGATCCACCTGTGGCGCATTTGCACCAAATCAGTGGGCTGCTTGTTCAAACGTCGGTCTGGCTCCACCCGCAGAGCGGCACACTGAAGGATGATACGCGCACTGCGCTAAAACATCGCGCGAGCTTGCTGGCCAAACTATTATGATCGCGTGCAACATCCACTGGAACCTGGCACTTGTCCGCTCGTGCATCAGCCAAATGCTGTGCGATCGCATTCAATACTACATGGTCCCAATTTACTGACTCACTGCAAAGTGCACATTGTAGGACATCTTTAAGACAATGAAAAAGGAACATGGGAGAGGCGAAAGGAGGCAGGTCGAAAGCCGAGCAGCTCCCAAAAACTCCCACCACAGGTCATAATTCGCCAGTTTGGCAGGATGGGCCTCGCCTGAAATGAAGGCCATCACTAAGTTATGACGATCACTGACCACGTGCAAATCTTATGAAATATCGCAAGGCCTCAAACACGCAACGATGGCCGCGAGCTCTGCACGTGGAACCCAATCAAACTCAGACCTGGGTACCGTCGCGGAGGAGGAGGAGGAAGAGGAGGAATAGGAGGATGGGGGCAGGAGGAGAAGGAAGAGGAGGAAGAGGAGGAGGAGGATGAGGAGGAGGAAGAGGCAAATTATATAACAAAACGCATCAGCATAACCATAGCTTGTGGAGCTCCGCGCGGATCTCTTTTATCGGCGCCGAGATTGGCGCTGGGGGCGCCGCCAGTGGGGACCCAACGCCGATCCGAGAAATCCGCGCGGAACTCAAAAAGTTTATGCAGGTGCAGTTTTCTTCATTTTCGATCGGCGGTGACGCGGAGGAGGGGGGAGGAGGAGGAGGAGGAGGAGGAGGAGGAGGAGGAGGAGGAGGAGGAGGAGGAGGAGGGAGGAGGAGGAGAATGAGGTGGAGGAAGGAGGGAGGGAGGAGGAGGAGGAGAGGAGGAGGAGGAGGAGGAGGAGGAGGAGGAGGAGAGGAGGAGGAGGAGGAGGAGGGAGGAGGAGGAGGAGGGGAGGGGGAGGAGGAGGAGGAGCAGGAGGAGGAGGAGGAGGAGGAACAGGAGGAGGAGGAGGAGGAGAAAAGGACAAGTGTAAGCCCAAGAATCATGAACGATGTTGGAATGAACCCTCCCTCCAAGCTCCCTCTTCATAGGCCCCTTGCGGGAATTGCCTTGTTGGAACACAACCGTTTGAAGATCCTGAAGCATGCCAAAACACTGCTTTCGGGATGTCAACGCCACGTATCAACCTGACTGCTGCGTCTTGACGATCCGGAAGCGTGCCACAGCGCCATTTTTGGGACTGCCACACCGTGAATCAACATAACTGTTGCGCCTGCATAATCTGGAGTCCTGCCAAAACACCATTTCTGGTACGTTGGTCATGGGGATCCGTGGAACTCTTGCAAAGCCACGTTTTGAAGACGACCCGCCCGCAATCCGTGAAGCTCTTGCAAATTTTCGAAACAACTGTGCGCGGCGCTAAGGCGAGAGCCACACTCTGAAAATGACCCGCCTTCAGTCCGTGAAGCTCCTGCCCATTTTGAAAATAAATGCGCGCGGCGCCAAGGCGAGAGCCACATTTCGCCCTCAATCCGTGAAGCTCTTGCAATTTTTTTGGAACGAATGTGCGCGGCGCTAAAGCGAGAGGCACATGTTGAAAACCACCCGCCCTCAATCCGTGAAAATCCTGCAAAGTTTTAAAACGAATGTGCGCGGCCCTGAAGCGAGAGCCACATTTTGAAAACGACCCGCCCTCAACCCGTGAAGCTCTTGCATTTTTTTTGGAACGAATGTGCGCGGCGCTAAGGCGAGAGGCACATTTCGAAAACCACCCGCCTTCAATCCGTGAAAATCTTGCAAAGTTTTAAAACGAATGTGCGTGGTGCTACAGCGAGAGCCACATTTTGAAAACCACCCGCCCTTAATCCGCGAAGCTGATCTCACTTTTCAAGCTTCAGGGTCAGAAGTGATGAGGAAATCTCAGGCGAAACGCCCGGCCCGCCCTGAACGCTGGCCTCGGGCTGCGACAGGGAAAAGTCATCTATACGGAAAATGGAGGAGGAGGAAGAGAAGGAGGAGGAGGAGGAGGAGCAGGAGGAGGAGGAGGAGGAGGAACGAACGTCCCCAAGGGGCCAGAATCCTCCTTCCACGCTTCTGCGGGCCACCGTGCGCCCTCCGAGGCACTCAGGGGCGCGGCGTCGCTGGCGAAGTCGGAGCTGGAGTCGGCGGTCACGAACGAATCAACGTCGTGGGGCGCCTCATCGAATGCGAAGTTCGGAGGGTCTGCGTCAAGGAGGGAGCAGCAGGGACGATGGCAAGGGGTCCCCCCCGCCGCGGCGAAGTTCAAGCCGTGCTCGTCGAGAGCGGACGGCTGGGAGTCGAAGGGGCCGGCGATAGCGTCGAGGATCGGGCTAGCGTCGACGTCCATGGACAAGAGGTCGGCGTGAGCGGAGAGCGCCTTGCTGCAGCAGCGACGCCGCATAATATCACCACATCGAAAGAGAGGTGGCCCTGGCACCGCCTGTCCCCGAATACGTACAGCAAAGGCTTCAACAAGCTCGCATTGCTCATCATCAGCAGCACCAGTAGCAAGACGATCCCCACGATGAACTTCCCGAATCGGTTTTTCCTCTTCTTCGTCCTCTTCCATCTCGTTCCGTTGTGTGTTGAGCCGTGCGCGTTATCCTCCTTGTCCTTGGTGCCCTTCGTAGCTTTCTTCTGTCTCTTTTCCTTCTTCGCGCCTGCCAGAGGGAAGTCACGGACAGCGCCATCTGATTGTGCGCTAGCAGCTGCGCTTGGTGGAGGATGAAGCGCAGGGAAAGCGGGATCGGCAGCGGCAGGACCCGTAGCCACCGACATGAGGCACAAGCCCTGCAGGGGGCTGAAGTATTGGGGGTGCGCAAGCAGCATCGTCGGGCGGCGGCAGAAGCGCAGGGATAGCATGATCAGCAGCGGAAGGATCGTCAGCAGCACGATCGACATCAGAAGGGCCCAGAAGTCCAGCAGGCTGATCCCCCTCATGCAGGCGAGGCCGGGGACTATGGTGTCCATCGCCCTCGCGACCCTGAGGACCATTACACGCAGCGCCACCGTCAGCAAGGAACGCAAGGTAGAGCGGGTCGTCGGCATCATCCCAACTCGCCGTATCCCAAGCGGGTTCAGCACCATAGTCGATCTGTCGCAACGTGTGGTGCCCTGCCCTAGGCCAGTGCCAACACCTGGGCGAACACCAATGTCAGCATCATGTACAGCACCACCAGGTAGGTCATCACAAGGCGCGGAAACAGCAGGAATAATCCCACAATGGGGGATGCATGCTTCATCGAGATGCCCGTTGCAAGCCGCAACGACATGGAGAACGGCGGCTTCAGAACCAGCCCAGTGGCCGCGATATACATCACGAGAGACATGGAGTCCACCTCGCAATACATGCTTCGCACCACGAGCATCTTCAGGATCAGCCCAACTCACGCGAGACACCCCATGAGGTCCGCAGAGACCATCTCGACGTTCAGTCAACTCAACCGCAGCAGCATCAGGACGAGCTCGACCATCCAGAGAAACATCAAGAAAGCCACGGGGTTCATCTCGCAATACGTGTAGTTCACCACCAGCAGCCCCAGGACCCGCCCGCCAATCGTGAGAAACATCAACAAGAACACGGCGTTCATCTCGAGATACATGCTGTAGACCACAATCCGCTTCAGGACATGCTCGACGCCCGTGAGAAACACCATGAGCGCCACGATGAGCATCACGAAATACATGCTGTTCACAAGCAGCAGCTTCATGACCAGCTCGACGCTCGTGAGAAACACCAGGCATACTCAGCACGCTATCACGCTCGGAATGATCAACGAGCCCCTAGTCAGGATCATCATCAGGACCCTCATCGCGACATCCATGCTGATTGCCATCCGCAGCTTCGGGACCAGCCCGAAGAACGTGAGAAACCCCCAATGGATCTCGGTCAGCAGCCGCACCATCTGAGAAATTGTCGGTGGCGACCATGCCGGCATCACGCAATCGCCATTGAGCAGCAGTCAAACCAGGGAGCCCTCAATATCCAGAATGATCGACGACAAACGTGTGTGTGTGTGTTCGAGATTAATCGCCTCATCTTTAACCTCAGTGAGATGGCTGTAACGACACGCGTCGCCATCATGGCAGGCAGGGGAAAAGTTGCACGCACCAGCGGTGCGAATCCGCGGGCCCACATCCAAGTACTTCGTGCATTGAAAAACAAAAGGAGCCTCTGCGTGTTCAGGGCACTCAGGGGGCAGCGGACAAGCCACAGGACCATCACAAGGAGCAACACCAGGAGCCGCCCCAGGTAGCTCATCTCGGATAGTTCCTTCAGGAGGATCAGCACGCAAATAATGATCGCCACGAGCGGCTCGACCATCCACTCCAAGCAGTTCGGAACGACCAGCTTCACCAAGAACCTCAGCATGTGCAGCAAAACCCGAGTGATCGTCACAGCCGGCATCATCACGACCGTCGGCACGTACAGAAACGTCACCATCAGCGGCACGCGCAGCCACCCCATAAAGCTCGGCACGAGCAGCGTCGACTGGAGCAAGAAGAGCGCCGCGGACAATGCCCCCAAGAAGGTCTGCACAACCAGGTGTACCACCACGACCGGCACGAACCCCTTCACCAGGAAGAGCGGGATGTACGGCAGCACCGGCTTCCTCATAATTATCTGCATGCACGCCTTCACCCGGAGAATCCACCACAGGATGCTTGCTCCTCGAACCTCCGCAGTTCAGATTCAATGTCAACGTTCCAGACGACATGGTCGAAGCAGTCAAGAGTATCGTGCTCAGCAATCGCACCCAAATTCGGCATAGCAGAGGAAGAAGAGTGAGCGCACACACAGGGCGGCGAGCAGGAAAAAGGAGAAGACGACGACCTATCCAGTTGCAGCTCCGCTAGGAAAGCCGCAACCTGTGGAATGTCTGAATCCATGCACGTCGCAATCGGGAAGATCACGGGCTGGCTGAAGGAGACGAATTGCGTCCGCAAGCCCAGCGAGAAATCCGAGAGCATGCCCGATACTGCGATGCAACTGTTTCTGCCGAGAACGTCAGGTAGGATATCAGCGAGCCGCAGGGCCCGAGGCCGCCGCTGGAGGTGAGCAGGAAGAAAATCATCCAGGGAAAGAGCATGAGGCAGACCAGCAGGGAGGGCGCAGCCGTCGCTCAGGCTCGGGATGCGGTGCTTCGCCTTGCCGTGCTGCTTGTTTTCATGAGTGAGCTGCTGGCCCACGTCGCCGGAGAACAGGTGCGCACAAGTGCCGATGGCGTGCCGCAGGCTGTGAGCAGGGCGACCTCCAATTTCCTGCAGAACTCCATGCGGATGCAAACCACGCAAAACAGCAGAGGCGTTCGAATGAAATGCAGCAAATACCCGAAAACATCGCTCCCCAGGACGAAGAGGGCGCCAGTAACGCCGTTGAGCTGCGCGAGAGTGCCGCTGACACCGCCGCTCGAAGGATCGGCAGTGGGGCATCACCTCAAATTGTGCAAGCCAGTAGAACGACACATAGAGCCATCCAGCAGCGAGCGCAACACATAGACATGTAAAGGTGGCGCGTCGGAGGCCACGGCCTAGCATGCGGCTCGAGCCAACATGGCTACGGAGGAGGAGGAGGAGGAGGAGGAAAAGGAGGAGGAGGGAGGAGGAGGAGGAGGAGGAGGAGGAGGAAGAGGATGATACTGATTCTGATCATGATGATTATGATGAGGAGGGGGAGGGGGAGGGGGAGGGGGAGGAGGAAAAGGAGGAGGAGGAGGGGGAGGAGGAGGTGGAGGAGGAGGAGGAGGAATAGGCGAGATGAGGGAGGCGGAAGGATGGGGGCGGGGGGTGGGTGAGAGAGGAGAGGGATGAGGAGGGAGGAGAGGCTGAAAGCCTCAGAGCAGGCACCGTGCTGACCGCCTTGGTCCAAAAGTAGGTCGAGCGCACGAACGGCCAAGATATCATCCCCTGCTGCGCCTGAGCGGGGAGGCCAGCACAGCAGAGGGGTGGGGCCACTGGGCTGTCGGTGGGATGCCTGCTGCAGGGGGGCCGGGGTCTCACGGGACCGAATCTTGAGCAAACCGCGGGGCGAAAGCTCGTAGCATCAGTATCGGCGGGCCGACGCCCGCCCGCCCCGTCGCGCTCGTAGCTGGGCAACGCGCGCGAAGGGCAGCAGGGTGGTGCTGGATGGGGGGGCGCCAGCCACAGCTGACAGCAACAAGCCGATGGGTGTGGTGCGGCTGGTCCG